AATCAATTGCCATGGTGATTGAAAAAAAACTTACAATTTCCATAATGAACTTGAAATCAGGAAGTGTACTCATACCAAAACTTCATGCCACTTATCCCACCTACTAACCCCTGTACTTGAGGACAATCTGTTGTCCCTAGGCTCGGCCTCGACAAGATCCTCAAGACCACCCTACTAATACCAAAGCCTCACCATCTCATCATAAAAAAAACAACTTTAAAGATCCGCCGCATTAGGTCCGCCAAGTTTCCTTCCCGTCATGCTAAGAAAATTACGTCAAGTGCTAATCACAATCAGACTCGCCTTTATTACGTCAAAGCCATCGCCTCTATACACTTCTGCCAAAATGAACACACAACCAGGTAGGCTTTCAGTTACTGCTCTTTCCAAACATACCGCTAGGTGTCGTCCTTACACTGTAGGCCTGTGACAGGTCCCACAATGCACCTCACTCAACTTTGACCTGCCCCATTGCATGACGGGAAACAAAATGGCGGCGCCCATAAAATCCAGGTAAAATAGAGCAGGTTTTGCTATCGCAAACCTGTAAAAAAGGAAATACTCTAGTAAGTTTGACGTGATGTCACGTGATTCAAGATGGCGGCGCCCAGCTAAAAGTTTGCGGCTTGCCGAATGTCCAGCGACAAAGTTTGTAACTAACTACCCTTAACAGTGACTTTGTATTAACAAGCCATGTTATGTTGCATCTAAGATAGCGTAGCTACTTTTTAAATACCAGTTTGTCTTTCTTCAAGCCTTAAAACCATATTTTCACAACGCTCGCTGGCACGAAGGAGGGAGGGGGAGGGGGGCGTCTGCAGAGTATCCCGGAAGTGCAAGTGCGCGCGCGGGTTTGATTTTGTCGTAATTTTGCCAGAAAGCGTTCTAGATGTGTGAGGGAAAAGGAAAATGAATGAATTTCTACACTGTACCTTTTGAAGGCAGACCCAGGTCCATGGCATATTACCTCTTGCTCTCACCCTATCCTATTGTACAATATCAAGAATTGTCAAATCTATAGATATTTTTTAACCTCGTTTCCATATATTATTATAGGGCATACAACCAAGTAATTTACATGTATTGTAAATTTCTGGGAGACTTAATTTTGTGGTAGGGGGTAAAAGGAGACATTCATAATTTTCAATTTGTGTATATCTACATACACTGTAGAATATTGTACAGTTACTGTAGTGCTCAACTTGTGATCACTTTGTCATAGAGAGTTTGCTGTAAAAACCATGAACATATAGAATTAGTGCAAAAATTTCAAAAATTACATAATAGCATTCAACAAAAAACATTTTTTCACAGCATCTTTTCTTCGTATTTTTCTGAAATTCTATTTTCAGGATCAATCTTAAAATTCAAGACCACCGGATCCAAAAACGATTTCAGTCACAATGGTTTACACCCATGAGATAGCCGTCCTGCACTCTGCATTCGTCCTAGCAGAACAACAGAGCCACACGCCTCTCCACGACCTTGACAAACCTAGTGCCAAGGTCACAGCTTCTCAGCTCCGGCCAACCTGTCAAGAAATTGTGAGTGGACTTGAAATGGCGCACAAGCAGTTTCAGCAAGACCACTGGAGTTACAAGCTAACTGCTATCCTGCTGGAGAAGGTCTTGGATGGAAAACAAGCAAAGCCAGACAGCTACTTCTACCCCATATGTTCAGTCTTACCGAGGATAGGGAAAACTTTGTACTTTGAACTCATCAAGTCCTTGAAGTGGGGAAAGTGGTTTGTGCAGGTGAGTGCTACATGTCTGAATTGGTTGGATGATTTTTGTCACTCACCCACTCACTCACTCACTCACTCACTCACTCACTCACTCACTCACTCACTCACTCACTCACTCACTCACTCACTCACTCACTCACTCACTCACTCACTCACTCACTCACTCACACTCACTCCATTGCCCCTCCATTTAGAAATGAAGTACTAATAGTTTTCCATGAGTAATAGTTGTGGTATTGGCCAGGATTTAGTCATTATGTATTTTTGTGTTTATGTTTGGTGCTATGCTGACAAATTTATCAATAGCTAGCTCACAAAGTAAGTGTCACAGAGCTAAAACATGTGCCACAAAATCAAAATGCATTTACAGTATGATTGACATGCCAGTGACTGAATTCTATTTAAAGATTATATCAATGGAATATTAATGGTGAAGAGCTGTTCTCATTAATTCCTTTTGTACTTCGTCATTTTATACATGTATAACATCCGTGTCCATAATATCACCAGGGTCCATAATATTTCCACCTTGAGAAATAGTGTGCTTTAAGATATTTTTACTGCAACATACTTTTGGTACGCACTCCTTCACTCATCAAATGTACATACCTAGGGTATGTTGCAGTAAAAATATCTTTAACTTTAAGGTGGCGATATTATGGACTATATTAAGGTGGCGATATTATGGACTATGGTGATATTATGGACACGGATGATGTCAGTCTTAAAATATTGTGATTTGTCTTTCTTTCAGTGTCTGAGGCAAGTACCATGTCCAGTAGCCACCTCTCTCCTGACAGACCTGTTCACACATGTGCAACTGGATCCCGATGAGCAAGACCTGTCAATCATCACAACCATCTGTCAATCACTGTTAACCCCATCACTTTCCGACCAATCACCATCCAACCAGGAATGCCTCCACCAATCAGGAGGGAGCATTTCGTCTGAGGGGCTTCAGCAAACGGAAGCAGGGTTGATCACAGTTTTCTTCCAAGAAGTAGACAATCTTATACCCTTTTTTGGTAAAGGAGAGCAGAGACTGAAACTTGTTTCCTCGTGTATTTTGTATACATGCGGTAAACTGAGGAAATGGAAACCCACAGATCTTAGTGTTGAAGATAGAAACATTACACAACAAATTCCCTCCAAGTGTGAACAACTTCGAAGGATGCTGCCGACAGATTCACAGTTTCTAACAGACAGGAAGAAGCTGAAGAAGTTAGTGTCAAGAATAGATAAAATGGAACTAAGAGATTCGCCAACAATCCATGATGAAGATATTGATAGAGAAACCAGTGCTGAATCTTGTGTCATTGTGGTAGAGTTTTTGCACAAAGTTCTAATCAAGTTTCACTGGCTGGACAATCTAGACTCAGATGTCCTGGGTTCAGAGCTTGTACAGGTAGCAATAACACAATCATCGGTTGATTGCTTGGTCTCTATTTGTGAACGTGGGGAGGAAGACTCAACAACAACAAGACTGTATAGCTTTATAAGGGAGTTATGTGACATGCTGCAACCATGTGTGGTGAGATGGAATAAAAGCATACCTTCTTATGCTGCCATGGAAACTGTTGCCAAGGAAATAAGGGTTGAAAAGGATGGAATCCACATCCAAACTGCGCTTCAGAAAATGAATGAGAAGCTGAATGGATATGAAGGTAATTTGCAATATGTTTTGATGACGACGGCTGTGTGCATAGTTCAGTGGTTACTGACCCTGTCTCTGGACCAAGAAGTTGGGAATTTGAGTCTCGATTTACATGACATTGCATGCTACTTAAAATGGTTGCAGACCTTAGGATAGGACTTTCAGCTACATGTGGTCTACTGTTCTCTCAAATTAAAAGAGTTAGTGTATGTAATATGCTACCTGTGCTAAAGATAATTTTCCCGGTACTATGAACATATACATATGTACTGGACATATCGTCTGTCTTACTAATAGAAGAGTAGATCTTCAGTGAGTTCAACTGGTTGGAGATTGCTTTTTATAATAATGTTATGACAATGAAAAGTATTACCATATGACACAAATGTTTTTGATTATTACACATTTATTGGTTTGTTCCCTGGTTCCTGTATGTTACAGAATGCCTGGATTGGATGCTGAACAACAGTCAGGAGTTGTATAAGGATCCAAGGTAATGGTATAGTAAGATAGGGGCCATCAAATTCAAAAATATATAGGTTTCGAATACTGGATGCACGCACACTTTTGTGCACCTAAAATTGGAGCTGTGCACCTCATTTTTGACTGTGGGTGCACTGGCATACCTAGATACATGTACATGTATATAGGTGTGTATATAGTTGTGTAGGGCTAGAATTGCAAATAGCATCCAGTATTTGAAAAGTGGTATTTTCATGAAAGATTGTTAGAAACAAATTTGAGAAATTTCAACATTGAGTACATTTCACAAAATTAATCTATTGCTTGACACCCATTTTGCAGGTGGATAGATGCCTTGGAGAGGAATGTAGACATCTTGTCAAGTTCCAGGTAAGTCTGTAAGTCTTGTGACAGATATTTGTAAATGGTGTCTTAAGGAATTAAGTGAAATGGATGAATAATCTAAAACAACCAATGCTGTTTAATGTTGTTTTTTTCCTCCCATATAGGATTGTCCTATCTATAGCAGAAATCATCAGTACTCTGAGACGACAAGATTCAGCTGGGACAGAGGTCCTAGAGACACTAAGGAAGGTAATCATATGCTTGATTATGCTTGTTCACGGGTTCAAAAACTAAAAATAAAAAATTTAGCCAGATAGGGAGAATAATTCTAATTGGCCAGCGGAGTTTCACCACCAAGTAGTACAGGGTTTGTTTGCCAGAAAGACGTTCTCTCATCTAAAGCTTTTGAACAGTCACTCTGGTCTACCTCAGTAGACAGACCCAGTGAGGCTTGTCACATGGCTTCTTTGAAGTGTGACTTCAACACTGACTTGGCACCTGTTGCCCTTCCAGGTGCTGACAGCTGCGTATGCCCAGCTGCCCCTGCACAGCCAGAACACTGTTCTGCTGCAGGTGATGACCATATATGGAACAGGCCTGCTGTGTTCCGGACTGTACCAAGTAGAGGTGGAGGGGGACATCATCACGGCCTTCAACAGGATGGTTCTATTGGGGGAGGGGCAGGGAGGGGTGGAGGTGAGGTGTTTGTTTGTTTGTTGTTTTTATTGGTAAACTGCTTAGAGTAACACACCAGTTCTGTACAGTAAGTACATGTACAAGCTGTGCAAGACCAGACCGTAAAGTTTGCTCCACTTTCACTGGGATGGACCCCTACTCTTTTTGATAAATGTGGTGGGATCTTTAATGTGGCTGTCCTTAGCCACAGGACACAGCTTTAGGTCCCATGTAATAGGAAATCCCTACCTTTAACTAAGTTTAAGGTACTCATTTTCACCTAATTCAATTGTGGAAATAGGTGTCAAGTGCCCTTCCTAAGGCCTGGGGCACAACACTGGGGTCTACCATTAGATTCTAGTAGTCAACAACCCTGTTCAGAAGAAGAAGGAGAAGAAGGTCTCCCGTGCTCTTGCCTGAGCGTAGGGTGGTGCCCATCTCCATTTCGTAGCCCTTGGGCGACACACAATTGTGCAATGCACTACAGCAGGGGGCTGGTCCGCTGGTAGTGCTGTGTGTTTGACCTTCCCACATTCTTTCTCATATGTGCTGTTCACAAGACCACCTTGCCATCTTGCCTTATGATGTTAGAAGTTAAACTGTCTTATATATATATAATGCTATTATAGCCTTCTAGTATAGTCTGAAGTATGTGGTTTCTTGTTAAGTGAAAGTATTACTAGTACTGGTATAGCTTGTGTTTTATTTTCACCATTTCTGGCTTGTCTTGTCTTGTCAGGTATTCAGCACCATGTGTGGAGCTGCCCTCCAGGCTCCGCTGCTGTTCCTGAAGACAGCTGTCAATCAAGCTGTCAATAACACAGGTCAAGCCGGGGTCATGTCAAAGGTCAGTGGGTCCAACTAATGAACAGTTTGACAGAAACTTTTAAACCTTGTAACTGTCCTTTGTACTGAATGCAATTCCAATGGAATATACATTCAGTGGTCATGAAGTTGTTTAATGTTGAAAAATTTGCTCTACAATAATGAAGCCCAGCAATTTGCAGTTTTTGCAAACTGATTAGAGTTTATTTGCCTCTGTCTGATAAAGAATTTCTAATAAGAAAGTTGAAACCAGTAAATATCTGTCAGTCCTGCTGTCATTCTTCAAAATTCCCTTTGAATAGAATTCAGCTGTGGTTTGAAAAATTTTTCATTACTTACACTAGTGTGTCTGTCCTTGGTGCTGAATGATTTTCAGTCAGCATTTGCATGCCATGTACAAATTTCATGGACCTGTAATTTTGCAATGCAGATCATCTAAATTATTTTGATATGAGCAACTCAAAAGGGTTTATTAGCAACCCCCTGTCCATGAGGCTAGAAAAAAAAACCTTATGGGACTACCTGTACTTTTTTACAGCTGTTACAGGTGTTGCCTTCCCTGTGCACCTACACACCTGGCCCAGACTCACCTGCCCTGCTCTGTACCACACTCCGCGCCGCCGCAGGTGACCTTCGACCCAACACACGAGAGGAGAACAACCTCCTGGGCTTCGTGGAAAACCTGCTTCAGGTACTGTAAATTTTAGTAAAAAGTTGAACTTTATTCCAACGTCATTTGAGAATCCATGGCCATACATATTATACTATTAGGTATAACATACTGGAAAGTAACACTTGGATAAATGAAACTCGATGTTATGTACATGTATCTCGTTTATTTCTTTCCTATACAGCCCTACAAACCACTGTTTGATGTGACCTGCCCGTTCCTGTGTGAACCGCTCCTGTCTGCTCCAGACTTTGCCTCCCTGGCAGTTTTTTCGTACCTCTCACAACACTTCAGTCACCAGGAACAACAACTTCCACTCATCACGGCACTCAAACTGCTGCAAGTTGTCTTACAACAACAAGGTAAGAAAAAAAATAGCAACAGGAAGGATTTAAATGGGTAAACACAAGTTACTGAATGTGTAAAAGGTTTCAGACGGCATCCACCATCTTTCGTAAGCTACTGACAAGGGCAGTCACGTGACTCAGAGGTTATAAGGTTGTAACACTAACAGTGGAGGGTTTATAGGCGCTACCAACTGACCTGGCCGATGGGTCTAGTCCTTTTAGGCAGAGCGGTTAGAGTGTCTGCCTGTGGACTGGTGCCCGGGTTTGGTCGTGGGTTCAAACCCCGGCCCGGGACCAGGAGGGTTTTTTAATATCTGTTTCTACTGCTCGCCTCTTCTTACAAGGCCAACACAGGTTCCGTGACTGAACGAGGGTGTTGTGTATGGGAGTAGTCGGTGGTGGCTTGGTCGCAGTTAAAGAAAAAAATGAATGAGGACTGGTGAATCCGAGAAATTAGATTTGTGTGGCCTTAAGTTGGTTAAGCCCATCTCCTTACAGATCACTGCAGAAACAAGAGCTCTTCAAACAGGGTTCTTCTTTAGAATTCTGGTGTAAACAACTCTCCAACAAGCAATCGATTATCCCATAGTAAGTGGCGTGTGGAAAAAATTCACCAACAGCTGCGTTGAAGGATGAAAGTAATTAATACAAAATACAAAATGACATCAATAGCTTCAAAGGCTTTTAGGACTGTCCTTAGTGATTGTCATTTTTAAAGGTGTTTATGATTAGCTAGTAGGTAAAGTGAGCTATTGTTTTGAGTCGATGAAAGAAATGTAGAAATGTCCAGCTATACATAGATACATGCCCTTGAATGCTTTAAACTTCACACTGCTAAGTAAGTTCAGAACCTTCAGATTCTGAGTCATCAACGCTGATCAAAAGACCACCTTAAAAACTTCTTTGTTTCACAACACTAGTACTGTTCCCTCATACTATCATGAAAGTTCATCTGTGTTGGTAGTTACATGTAACACATTCCCAACTAAAACGAGAAATTCTCCATACAGTATGTGCAAAATGCACACACCTATGTGCAAACTGCACATACCTATGTGCAAAATGCACATACCTATGTGCAAAGTGCACACACCTATGTGCAAACTGCACACACCTATGTGCAAAGTGCACACACTATGTGCAAAGTGCACACACCTATGTGCAAACTGCACACACCTATGTGCAAACTGCACACACTATGTGCAAAGTGCACACAGCTATGTGCAAAGTGCACATAGGTGCATATACTATGTGCAAACTGCATAAATATACTACAAACAGACAACACTTTAATTCCGGACTGACTCTCATTCCGGACGACCTTTAACCATTAAGACATTATTATATTACTCGCTGAAAGTTGCGTAGGTATCATCAATACACTGTAGGTCCCCTGGGACTAGGTCAGTTCTGCAGAATTCTGCATTCGGATGCAGAATTCTGCAACCCAAATGCAGAATTCTCTATCCAAATGCAAAATATGAAGGAATTTGCAATGCCTTATTTATTTTATGATGTTAGAGAGTGGACTCACACTCGTCCTACATTGTATGTGTTTGCTACTAATCCCTGTGCTGCAAAAAAAACATACAAGACAGGACATTCTGCCAAGTACCTTCCAAAAGCACAAAAGAGTTTACAGATTGCACACACATTTCAGGCACAAGTACTTTCAGGTCATTCAGGTCACAGTACTTCATGCTGCATCTGTATCTGTATAGTCGGTATAACCGCCTTTCGGCGTAACACACCAGCT